TATGTTGTTGCATTTCAGGTAACAAAATTTTTATTTTCTCATTTAAAATGATGAAAAGCGTCTTTTACATGAGTTTGCATGAAAGCCGCACAATTAATCGAAAATCAAATCTGTGTCCGTCAAGGTGGAGTCCAGTAAGAAAAGCTACCATCAGGCCAAGAAGGAGGAGTGGACGGCCATTTCCAGGGAAACGCATGCCAAGGCTGACCCGTCCAAATCCCAGGAGGAAGTCCGCAAATTCACGGTCCGGACCGAGCGCTGCAACCAAGAGGCTGAGAAGGTACAAAACTGAAACGCACACACACACACACACACACACACGAGTCCTTTTTACTCTGCTCTAGTCAAACTTCAGTCCAGAAAGTCTGGTCCGTTTGGGGAGGTGTGAACACGTAACTAACCAGAACTCTGGTCCAAACCTCGGTGACAGTTTGGTTGAATTAAACTCGTGTGGTTTGAATTTATATGTGAACGCCAAGCAGACCAGAGGCTGCTCCCAAAACAGGAAGTGGACTACAGTGCAGAGCATTCTGGGTAAAAACAACCAAAGCAAACATGCTAGCTTAGCGCTAGCGGGAGAAATGACAAAAGGGAATTCCTACAACCATTTTGTCATTGACCATATAATTGATCAATTTAACATTTCTAAACTAAATTTGCTTAATGGAAACACACCAGTTTAGAGAGAACTTGTTTCTGGTGCTGTGATACGTTTTTTTTTATTATTATTTATTTATTCATTTTTTGCCCACATTGAAATTGGTTTATTTCACATTATTACCATTTAAACTCTTTTTTTGCACATGATCAACAACCAGATGTTTCATCTGTCACAAACCATGAAGATGACAGGAAGTAGTTGGAGGATTGTGGCGCTGCATGTGTTTTTAATAACTTACCATGTGAACACGCCTCTTCACGCTGGATTTTAATTGTTTTCTTTATTTAATTTAAGCACTACAATTGCAAATTTGTGTTTATTGACAAAGTTTTGCGCTCATTTGCTAGTGTCTTTGTTTCATCAGTGGTTCTTGGTGCAGTGCCCCCACAGGCGAGGAGGGGAACCAGTGTTTCAAATGGTTTGGTTGGTTTGACTCAGAAAATGTAGCAAATGTTGCAATTTTGGTCCCCAATTGAACCGACTCTACCGGACTATCAGGTGTGAAACCACTCTTAGCATCCCGGGAGGAGCTCCAGTCGTCCCAGTCAGGGTGTGCCAGTGAGTCCAGTAAAACGTCTCTGCCTTTAAAACATGACTGAGCTTGTATCGCCTTCGTTTCGGCTCGGGACAAACCAGACAGCGGGACGGAGAAGCTGAAGAGAGGAAAGAATCTGAGAAATCTGGGATGAATTCAGTCTCAGCTTGGTGACACTTTCCCTCATCCAGACGTCACTTATTTATTCTGAAGCTAAATCACAAATGACTGAATAAAGTTTTAATTATAGCACTAAGTACGGAAGAGTTTCAGTCTGCAGTCGGTGTGAGCCACCACACCTACAGCCCGATAAAATGAAACTTTCAGGATAACTCGGGTTGTTTACATAACGTTTGTGGTTTCTGGCAGCATGAGGGGAATTACAAATCCTTAACTGCATCTTTTCTTTGAGGAACTCGTTAAAGAGGCTTTTTAAAACCTGAGTGGCTTTTAAAATGGACTGATTGAACCACAATACTTCCCATGACAGCCGCAATAAAATAAAACGGTAATTAGAAACTCTGATCAGCCTGGGTGGAAGAAAACAAATGGACCACAAAATGAAGGGATGCACAATATTTGGTCCAGATCTTCAAATTACATTTATTATTAGACATATTTTATGTTTCCAATGGAAATGAAGGTTTCATAAATCTATTAGTTTTGAAGAATCTATGGAATGATCTAGTCGAGTCAAAGTATTTTAGACGTTGAACTAAAGCTGATCAAATGGACACCAAAATTTTTTAAATGGAACCCATCATGCAAATGTTTTGCATGTTTTTGTCTTCAATTTATGTGCTTAAAAAAAACAGTTGGCAATAAGTTGATGTTTTTTGGTGTCTGGAAGATGAACCATTTCAAAAAGTTCCTGGCTGTTCAGATACCTAGCAACCCCAGCCGAACACAGCTCCGTTACCTAGCAACCCTTGTGGATCTCCAGCACATTTGACCAGCTTTTGTTCAGAAACCACTTGGAGGATTCTTGTTGATTGTGAAGGAGATTCTACTTATGCTTTTCAAAGATGTACTGTTGTATAATTGCGCATCTGTTTGCAGCCATTTTTATTTTTGAGTGTTAACGTTGAGTTGGGGGTCATGGCCAGCAGCAGTTTGAGTTTAAAGTGACAAAAGGCCGTAAAAAGGCTCATTCTGAAAGAAGCTCAATCTAGACTAAAAATTATTTTGTAATGTAATTAACGTGTTTTATATAGACCACAGACCTATCCTCACCTGTACAAGGAAGTATAATACATCACCTTTAAATAGGGCTGGGCCAATAAATCAATAACAATATAGACGCATGATCAATATCAACACATCTGCTAGAATATTCACTGAACTCTTGAATCACTGCTTTCTGGGAGATCTAGGCAGAGGAAAGACTTTAGCGGCTCAACCTCTCAGCTAGCTAAGCTGTGTTGGTGGAATCAACTAACTCACTCATCCTTTGGTTACCTAGCAACTCACTCATCCTTTGGTTACCTAGCAACTCACTCATCCTTTGGTTACCTAGCAACAACCTGTTGAGTAACTGGCGCAGCAGCAGTTTAAGTTTCTCCACCAATCCTCATAACTTGCTTAAAACTTAACGGTGTGGAGTAAAAACTGTAGACAAAACAGAAAATCTCTGTTTGGAATTATTTCAGATTTTTAAAACAAAAAACTAATAAATAATTCATAATGACCGATGTAAAACATTTATATTGTTTGGTTTTTGTCCAAAAATTTGTGTTGAAATAGTGTTTTCTATTTTAAATGATTTTTTTTTTTTTTTTTTTTTGCAATGTGCAGGAATAAAAAGGTTTTCCATCACCTTAGGTGGTGTTTGGTGGCTCAAAAATGACAGTGCTGTGATTATTCAGACATTTTCAGCCTGAGGAAGTGTTTGTGTTTGTTTTGTAGGCGAAGGAGCGCTACGCCAAGGCCCTGGAGGAGCTGAACCGCTGCAACCCTCGCTACATGGAGGACATGGAGCAAGTGTTCGACCTCACGCAGGAGGCAGAACGGAAGAGACTGCGCTTCTTCAAAGACGTCCTGCTGGACATCCACACGCACCTCGACCTGTCCGCTAAAGACAGGTGGGAAAACTTTCACTTCCTCTGGGGAGAAACGTGAAAAAGTGATGGCAGCTGACTCAGATCGAAGGCATGCAGCTGCTGGTGCATGTGGGAACATGTGTGTATGTACACAGAGGTTAATACAAAACCTGAACCGTCGTCCATTAACTGTTGACCTCTGGTTTTATTTAAACAAGCTCAAGTTGCCATGGTAAAGTCCGAGTAAACGGGACAAAAAATAACTTTAAAGTAGCTTCACAAACTACATATTTTCAACAAAGTGTCTGGTTCTGCTTCTAATGTCTTTAATCTTGATGCATTTTTAAATTTCTCTGGAGTTGTTTTCTGATGCTCCCTCCCAGCTTCAACTCTTTGGATTTAATCAGAAAATTTCTGAAGTAGCTGCATTTATTTAAAAAATTTTAACCAAAACATAAAGGCCTTTCTGCTGCCCCCTACTGCTCTGCTTGAGCATTTATTTTTCAGACCATTTCAGATTAAAGTGTGGCTAACTTTAAATTATTGGGGTCACAACTCAAACAAAATGGATTTTAGATTACATTTCTTTAGTTTATATGAATCTGCAAAGAAAAAGTCAAGTGAAGGTAATTAATATGGTTTCTTAGGCTACAATCATATGGTTTGAGATGAATTTTTAATGTTTTTTTTTTTTCAAATTTATTTGGAGTTTTTGGTTAAAAAATTTGTCTAAACTGATTACAATTTAAATCCTAGTTTTACAAGTCAAACTGTTTTAAAGTTAAACTTCCTCAGTTAGCATGTGCTACATAGCTGTTCAGTGATATAACTTTCTCAGAGTAATTAACCAGTAACACTTTCTAAAATCAGAGGTATTAGAAACGTATTTTGCAAAATAAAACTCAAACTTGATCATCAGGGATTTGGATAATTTTTTTTTAAAAATTATTAAAATTAAATGGAACAACTTAAAAGTTGTGAAAATATTGAATAAAAACAACAAATCTGGAGAAAAAAAAACCTTAATCTTTTATTAAGACTTTATAAAAGTGCAAAGAGACAAAAACTTGGTTCAGACTAATCTCATGAAGGACTTTATTGTGATGGTTTTAACCAACAGCTTTAAGAACCTGCACCAGGATCTGGGTCAGACCATACGGGCGGCCAACGATACTGAAGACCTGCGGTGGTGGAGGAACACCCACGGACCGGGGATGAGCATGAACTGGCCCCAGTTTGAGGTGTGGAAACACACACACACTCATTCAGAACCGTGAAAAATAGGAATTCAAACAAGTGATCAACTTGCAACCATTTTTTTTTCGATCAATGGTTTATTAGATTAAAATTAGTTCCAATCGATTCACTAATAATATCCGCTTAGACTTTATGTTAATGTTGTAGTTTGGCCTCCATCCAGCAGAGGGCGCCGCTGGTCAGCCTGATTAGCGGAACCGTCGATACAGAAACAAATATGGCGGCCAAATTAGAACGGAGAAGAAAAACGGTCTAAACAGAGTTTGGTGTGGGACTAGAAAAACACTTTATTCCGTTTTAATAATAATAAATAATATTTATTTTTTTTATTTAGCATAATTTAAAAGAAAAAAAAATTAGCCCTTTTATTTTATGGAAAGGCTATCGGCGCCCTTGATGCCAGAGAAAACTCAAATTCTTAAAATATGTGCTTATCAATTAATCCTTAGCCGATCAGTAAGATGAATAAACCTCAACTCATCCCTAGAGGAGAAACGTTTAAACTAGCGGTTCAGTAGTTATTTATTTGATGAACCGGGTCACCTCTGGAGCTCTAAATCAATAACTCCCCATTTGTAAACTGAATGTAAATAAGGAAAAAAGTTCTGCGTCAACTCGATCCAGAGTCCAGTGTGTGTCTGTGTGCAGCAGGCTGAATATTAAACAGGTTTGCAGTGAATGCCTGGTTTTATAGTGGAGAGCAGTGAGTGGGGTCAGGAATGACACACGCACACACACACACACACACACACACACACTCTCTTTCAGATTCATCCTTCTGTGAAAATCTGCAGATTTCACCTCATTTCTGCAAACATTACAGCACAAAGCCAGAAACTCCTTACAGACAGCTAACAAATCCTGTATGTATTTTTCATAATAATCCTCCTTAAAGGATTTTCTCCTGCATTTGTTCCCAACTTGTGGGCAGTGTAACATTACTCTTCCTCCTTTGTGTTTGAGGTGATTTGCAGTTTTGGTTGTTACAGTACATCAGGGATATGGTGACCTGGATTCCTGCCTTTCAGCCTCCACACCTCCTACTGTGGGTGTATTAGAACGACAGCGTCTCATTTCAGAGAAACAAATGAAGCTGAAATGCTCAGAAATGATTGCGTTTCTTCCAGTCTGTTTCTCTGCATTCGAGACACTCAAAGGGAAGATTGTAGATTACTGAAAGTGCTTCATAAAGCTAAGTATACTGTCTGGGTGTCATCTGGATCTGAGGACGGAACGTATAAACAAACATGGCTGATGCTGCCTTTTAATTTTCCAAGAAAAGACAGTTTGTTTCTTAAACACACTTTTGACTTGTTTGAAAAATGTACTTATTTATTTCTAGCAAAAATATAAACAAAATAACTAAAAATGTCTTAGAACATAGATCTAAACAAAAGTTAACTTAATCTAATATTACAAATAAAACAACATGGTTAAAAATTATTATTGCCATCATAGTGGACATTTGATGAGCAAGAAACGTCTCCACCACTGACTGTTCTTAAAATCAACAATTCCAATACAAAAATAAAATTAAGTACAGGTTTTGGTTTCAAACTAACTTGATTATATTCTAACTGCCTAAAGAAAATACTAAAGTGCTGGAACTTACGATTTACAGAAAATTTAACATAAATGGCCACATTTGCAGCTTCAAATTTGTGCCAGTAGCTCTAGAAAAATATTGACGACTAATTCAAAATCTTTTACAACATAGATGTAAGTGAAAGTTAATTTAATCTGATCTTACAAGTTCAAAATGTGGTAAAAAATAAATAAAAAATCTCCTGTTGTCATACCAGACATTTAACAAACAAAAAACATGTCCAGAGGGAGAAGTTGGCAGGGAGAGATGCATCTCTGTCCTCAGAGGAATCTCCCAGTGTTCCCACAGTGCCGCCGCCACGCAGACAGAGGCCCATTGTTCACAAAACACTCACACACACTCCAACACCCTTGCATTTAGATCACTAGGAACATTTTTCTTTATCCAACCTCACCTCCATCTGCCTGGAAGTCAGATGTTTAAGCCTAAAGCTGCTCTGATGTTTTCAGGAAACATTTTTCAGACTTTAAAATTTACATTTTGCTTGTTTTTCTTATACTAACATTTCAGTCTCAACTGTTTCTAAAAGAACAAACTAAACACATAAAAAAGGGGGGAAAAAACATCCATCTGTTTTTTTTTGCAGTACATGGTTCTCTTCACACTTCTGTGAATTTCCGTGGCAGCCATCTTAGTAGGCAGTTGCTATGACGACAACAAATAAGCAAGCTTAGAACTACCTCTCGCTCCTATCTAACTATTCTAACCTGCATAATAGGTCACCTTTAAATGTTGTTCTTGTACCTGTAGGCACATTTAGTTCATTGCACACACCTCCAGAGACAATGAAAACGGCAGTAACTTCATCTGGAGCTGCTCTCTTTCTGCACTCTGTTATTATAATGGGCGTGCATGTTTGCTGTCTGTCATCAGAGACGTGGATCTCTTCTGTTGTTTAGCTTTGATTCCTGTTTAGAATGAGAATAGAGAATTTAGTCATTTTATGTTTTTATTTGTAATCTTCTTTTTACTTCTCCTCAGGTTCAGCTTGGTTATAAATCTGTTTTCTTCTTGTTCCTTGTGCAGTTTTTGGCTTTTCTGCAAAATAAATTAAACATTTGGACTAAAGTGTGAAGTAAAGAAGTTATTTTACGTTTCAAATATAAAAATCAGGTAAAACGATTAATAATTACCTGACAGATTTTTTTGTGTTTTTTTTTTTTTTTGCAGGAGTGGTCTCCAGATTCAAGCCGCTCCATCAGCAGGAAGGAGCGAGGAGGAAACTCTGAGGAGAACGTCGTCACCCTCACCAACATCGTGTCGTCTGGTGGAGGAGACGCCCCGCCCAGTCCCATCGCTATGGAAACGGGCAGGTAGGAAAATCAAGTGAAGTCTGGTTGAAACAACAGAAATCTGCAATAGTTTATAAAAACTCCAAATTTATCATTTGGTGGAACTGATCTGTGACGTGGCAGCAAATCGTGGCTCAGCATGATGCTGCCATTACCAGGAAATCGTGTAAACATCTGAACTGTAAATCACTCTGTCACTTAAAATCCAGAATGAAGTGAAATTATCCTTTACAGCACAACAAGAACTCTCCACTCAAACAGCTGAATGTCAATATTTCTCCACTCAAATAAAATATTATTAAAAATACATATAAATATCATGGCTTTACCCCAGTGTATTATAAGCCTGGCAGCCCGCCATGCTTTATCAGCCCCCCGCCAGGCCAAGTGTTGCTTTTTTTTTTTATATTTTTTTTTTTATTAGAAAAATTAATAATGAAAAAAATATACATATATATATTTTTAAGTTAAAGTCAGATTGCAAGCGTCTCTGTTACTCTGAGCGTTTCACTGGCAGAGTAAATTTATTCCTAAATGATAGTTTATAGTTTATGCATTAAAAGCCAGGAGAGCGGACCAATCACACAGCTGGCGCGTTGAAGCCCGCGCTGCTGCTGCTTTACGCCAGATTTTTTATTTAACCACTAAACATTTTTATGCAACATCAGAAATGCATGAAAAGATGCAAAGAAACAAAATAAATTTCTTGTTTTTAAGTAAGAAATTTAATATTTTATTGCCTAAAATGAAATGATATAACATTTATTTAGAGAACCCTTAATCATTTATAGCAAAGAACGCATCTGGAGCTTATAAATATGAAAAGTTCAGTCCTGTTGGCCTGACTAAACAGGCTGATCTGCTGATTATTATTAGGATTAATAATTTATTATCAGTTTAATAATTGGATAGCAAAAGATGTCTGTTGTTTTTACAGCATTTGAACCAGGTGAAGATAAAACTGTCACTCGAGTTCTGGGTAGAACATATTTACAAAGAATGTTTTTCATCTTACATGAAAATGTATGCATTTGTTTTACGGTAATTTAAAATTAACAGAAAATTTCCTTTTTTGAGTCTGTATACTCCAGTTAACGATTGATTGATTGATTACTAAATAAGTTGGACTTATTAATCGTTGCAGTCCTAATGAGAGCGAAGCAGCTGTAATAGTTTGTGTGAATTGAGTGAAGGTTTAGTTTCCAGTTTTGCCTCTTTTCCCTCAAGCTCAACCCTCAACATGTTGGGATCAGCTTGCAGGAAGTCTCTGCAGTGGATTTCTCTCTGTTACAGTCGGCATAGTTGGAGCTGCTGATCTCCAGGAAGGTGTGAATCAGTCTGAGGTTGGATTTAATTCACTGTTTGCTAATAAACTGCCTGTTAAAACGGATCCAAACTGGGAGTTTTTATAGAGTTTTCCCACTTCGTTTTAAGGAGCTCAGCTTTACGTCCTCCCTGTTGGATTTAAGAGTTGGTTGTAGCTGCTGTTGTTGTTGTGTAAAGTTTTAAAACGACGTGTTTCTGTGGGCTGTTTAGTCCAGACGTGAAGAGAAGTCTACAATTATCCCTGAGCGTCCTGTGGGCGTGTGAGAGAGCTTGCTCCTGTTGAACCTCCCAGCCTCCCTGCGGAGGTTTTTAAACCAACAAACAGCGTCTAATGAGAAGCTGCAAAGCTGAGTCTGTCCATGTTCTGCTCCTGCTGGGAGAAGCTGCCTCGCTTTTTTAGGATACAGATTCGAGTTGGAGATGACTGATGTTGAATTTAAGAGCTCTGAATGTTAGGAGATTAGTGCGGTCAGTCTATTACAAAATTTAACCAAATTAACCACACTCTGATGCTGTGAGTAATCATTATTAATCACTTTGGCTAACTTGTCCAGTGCATACTAAATAAAAATCTGGTTGGGCACCAGATCAAAATCTGCTTCGGTCCCCAAAAAGGCTTGCATGAATCAGAAAAAGCAGATTTATTTGCATCTTTTAGTGATAACCTAATATTAAATAAATTATTTTAAATGGAAAAATCTGCAGAATGTGCCAGTTTTTTTTAAATTTGATTAATTGTTGGAACAATTGATATTTATAGCATTTAATTATAATTATTAGCAGAACTTTTAAACTTTCTTGGGTTGTTTTTAGCTCATGTTCTGCAGTTGCTCCAACCTGTATGGAAAAAGAGGTCAAATTTAGTCAAGCTTGTTGCAATCTGAACTCGTGTAGAGTAAAATTTAAACTATTTGATAGTTTCAACTTGATTTTAGCCTAATTTCAGTTTCCACGGTCTGAACCTTTATAAAACTACCAGTTTTTATTTTTTTGCAGGAAGTTTGTGTTGCAGCTTCAGAGCTGCAGGTAAATTCTGGATCTGGAGTTTTTCATGGATTCTCTGCTTGACGTTTGTAGTTTTTGTCTCTTGGTGTCGTCCAGGGTGAAGGATTACTCATCGGACTGGTCAGACGAGGAGAGTCCCAAGAAGGCTTTGGCGGTGAATGGCGTCGGGGAGGCGAAGGAGGAGGAGGAGGAGGAGGAGCAGGCGGAGGGCGTGGCGGTGAGAGCGCTGTACGATTACACGGGTCAGGAGGCGGACGAGCTCAGCTTTAAAGCAGGTATGAACCCAATTATACCGCAGAGACTAATATACAGACGGAGTTCTCAACAAACGTTAATGAGTTAACCTTTTTTTGGTGTATGGAAAATGAGCTGTTACCTAGCAACCCGAGCTGAGTTCCAGCACGTTTGGTCAGCTGCTTTTGCCGCTTTATGTGCTTTACAATGGCTGCTGGAAAAGACGAGCGTTTTGTTGCGGACTCACCACCCAGAAACCACTTGCTGCATTCTTGTTGGTTGTGCAGGAGACTCCACTTCTGCTTTTCAAAGATGTATGGTTGTATAATTGCGCATCTGTTTGAAGCCATTTTCACATAGAAGTGTAAACGTTGAGTTGGTTAAGCCTATTTGGATTTAAAGTGACAGGACACCCTAAAACGTCTCATTCTTTCCTTTTCCTTCAGGCGATGAGCTGATGAAGCTCGGTGAGGAAGATGAGCAGGGCTGGTGTAAAGGACGGCTGAGGAGTGGCCAGGTTGGCCTTTATCCCGCCAACTACGTCCAGGTCATCGCTTCCTGATGGCCCCAACCCCTCTGGTCAACTGAGCCAATCAGAAAGCTGCACACCACCCACCAGGAACAAGTGGAGGCTTTCCGTACTGACCCGAGGAAAATGATTCCTGCGGTTCTGAAAGTCTGTCTTTGTCATCGGAAAGAGGAGAACAGAACTATAATATCTGCCAGCTGTCATTCAACTCCAGCAGGAAAATAAGTTTCTGATCAGATCATTAAACCCACAAAAGAGGATAATCAATCAGCAAGAGATGCATCCAAAACTGGATTTTCCTTTTACGTTTAGTTGTATTGGATCATTTCTACCAATTTAGAAGAAAAGATAAGTCAATGGTACGGCTTGAAGTTAATTAGCTTAGCTTAAACCATGCTAAGCCCCTCTGCTGAGAAGCTTTAATTAGCAAATGTTCCCATTTCCACACATGCTCAACATGCCTGTATTATTTTTTTTCCTCTATTAGCCAAAGTTTTCTTGAAACCAGCACCTATTGGCCATCAGTGGTACTGCATGTTCAAGATCTTCCCTTTTAAAAGGGAAAATTAGGATTTTTATAAATTTATGTGACAATGTTGTCAGTCAGTATTTTGCTTATAAGAGGTTGTAGCCAGAACAATATTGATTTAGAGAATTGAGATAAAACCTTGTGTAAATAGAAAAATAAAACGTACCATGCTAACTATGATGAAGCATTTGCTGGGAATGTTACGTGTTGGTTAAATACCTGAACTCCGCTCAGGTCCAGCTGTTAGCTTAACTTTCTTTTTAGCTTCCAAAAGACGTAAAACATGAAAATTTCTGATATCTACGAAATGTAAGATATTGATTACTGGTAACTAGCTCACAGGACCCCATTAAAAAAAACTGAGGATAATTTCCTTCTAAATGAAAAGCCAAACTACAGACTGTCTCTCAGTGCCTTAGATGAAGAGGCCAGAAATGTGCATCGCTGCCCTGCTGGTTGACTTGTGGAACTACATCCTATAAATCCACAACTCTGCTCCTTATTTTATATTTTTTTTAAAAATGAGGTAAATAAACAGCATTGTTCTTTTGTTACACTGACCTACCAAACTGTAAATGTGCAGCGCCGCCCCTGTGTTTGACTGTGGAACTACATCCTTTAAACGAACAGCGCCACCCTTCAGTTTGGCCAAAGAATTGCATCTTTAAATTTCTGCTGTTGAACGGACGGAAGAAAAAAACATTTATTTGGACGCCTAAACATAAATTAGACTTCATTTTAGTTTTTCTGGTTATTCTGAGTTTTGGATGCAACATTTTCTTTGTTTTTTAAAAGAATTACTGTAATAATAAGAGGTTCGTTCATATTAACTAATGGATAAATTGTTGCCACTTCTTAGATTTTTTTTATATCGTTTATTTCCTTTTAACTTCTTCCAGTTTCTTTTTAAAGTCTGTTTTGCTGTGAACACAACAGTTTGACCTCAGTCACTTGAAATAAGTCTAGATTTTGCTATGATTTATTTTTTTTTTCTTGGGATTTGGTTTTCTTGTTTTAAGTTCTTGTTTGTTTCTGAGGAGAGTTTTCTCCGTCCTGCTGATCTGAGCGTAGCTACAGCTAACCTGCATACGTGTTTAAATGCTAATAAGAGATTTAATGTTTAAAGTTACACTGCACACACCTGTAGCATGTACAGCTTCAAATGGGAGAAATAAACAGAGCTTGAAACTTTTCAGACTCTGTTGTCAAAAGTTTGTTTTTGTTGTTTTCACCACAAACATTTAAGTATTTTCATTTCATGTGACAGAGGAACACAGTGATCCATAGATGTGAATTTGAAGAATAAGGATTCAGCATTTTAAGTTTTTATATCTAAATATTTGCAAAGTGTGGCAGTTATTTATATTGACCCAGATTTTGGCTCCTATTTCAAAACGTTTGGGTGCCTTTTTAAATTTTATTAAAATCAACAATATACTTTCTTTTTTGTAGAAAACAGATTTAAAAATTGGAGATGCAAAACAAATCATTTATTTGATTAAAATCGATATTAGTGGTTGTATTTCTCCAAAATTAAGATGAATGCAAAAACCTTAATATTTAATCTGACCTGTAACTTTTGTAAAATGTATCTGTTAAGAAAAAAAACCTAAAAGGTGAAAAAAGTATCCATCTTCATTAACCAATCGTGAAGCTAGTAGGTCTGGGGGGCCGCCCAACATCCTTCACAGGACCGCAAATGGCCCACGGACCGCACTTTGGACACCCCTGTACTAACACTTCTTTTACTCTGATGGCTTTTATTTAAGTTGATGGGAATTTTAAGTTGATAAATCCTTAATTTTGATGAAAAAGTACAGACTATTTCACTCATAGATTAGAGAGGAGAAACTGAGTTTTAATGTCTGAAGCTGATATTTAATTATGTCTAATTCTGTAATTTCAGAAGCTTTTGATTAGTTGTGAGTAATTTTACTAACTGGGAAGTTATAATTTGCTGGACTTTGTCTCGTGTCCCGCTGGCATTTGTTGCTCAGTTATAATCTCAAAGAAAAAAGACGAGTTTTAATAGTTTTTAACAATTTGAGATGCATCAAAGGATTATTCTCGATACAAAGTTGGCGCATTCTGCAAATATTTTTATTTAACCACTTAAGCTTATGTTATAGAATATTAGAAATGCTTACAAAAATACAAATAAATTCCTCAAGTTCAGAAAATTAACATTTTATTGCCTAAATTGCAACAACAGCAATCCTTTAGTGAAAGCTTGATAATTTGTATCAAATTATGCAACTGTAGCTAAAAATATACTTTTACCATCAACATGTTAAACGCAGTGATTATTTATAGAATTAACTCTTTAATAATGGCATAGCCATACTTTTTTCCCTTTTTTTGTTTTAATTTATTTTACAGAATTTGTACCAGGTGAAGCTAAAGCTGGCACTGGAATCATTTTATTTTTAATCTTAAATGTATATATTTTAGTACAGTTTTGCCTGAGGTTCTTCTAGCAAATGTTTTGACTCTTTCAAACTTATCTGTTCTAGAACATTTTTGATTAATCAATTTTTTTTTTTTACTGTAAAAATATTTTCTGGGAAATTTCTTAAATCTCAAAATTTCTAGCATTTTTTAAAGCAAACTTTTGACTCAGTCAAATTTAGTTTTTCTAACATTTTTCAAATTAAACTCAATTTCTGGGGGTTTCTAGCAAATGTTTGACTTTTCAGACTCGAGTCTAATTATTTTTTTAATTCCTCAATTTAATTTTTTTTTTTTTTTCAGAAAAAGATTTTTCCAAATTTCTGATTTTGTTTGGCTGAACTCTGCTCTCTGTTTTCCATCTACGATGGCGTCGTGCATTCTAGACGCACTAATATAGTTTCACTAATTATACAAGATGTTTGAGGCCAATATCTGAAAACTGCAGACATTTTTTTATTAAATTGACAACTTGAATCTGTACAGCAAAATAAGACGTCACAATAATAAATCTGTTCTCCATAGTACATGGCATATTTTAAAAAACTGCTCACCATTTAATCTGTACAAGCTGAAAATGAAAAACAAGCTCATTAAGCATTAGCTTCCAGCTAGCTTCCCTCTGAGAATATAGACCAGCTCACATGCTACACATTCACTTAATCCCTCAGAGAAATTAATGTAAAAAAATCTGCAAATATTAGCTACAAGAATTTAGATTAAAGCATATTAAACATTTGTTTTTTTACATTTTTATTACAATCCTCAGATCCAGGCTGTTTCTATATCATAAAACGATCAATTAAGCTAATTAGAAGGCTAACAGATTTTTTTTAAGGTGAAAATCAAAAAAATTTCAATCTAGTTTTTGGTTCACTTCAGTTATTCCACTTTTGTTCTTCCGGATGGGCAGAAGAAATATTTCCACACGCTCAAAGAAAAGTGCAACATGAGAATATATGTATCAGGGCCATTTTAGTTAGAGTTTAATCTCTGACATTTTCTAGAAAAAAACATGGAAATTCAAAAGTTGACTTGGAAAAATTTGAGTTTTGAAAACTGAAAATTTTCAAGAAAAAAATCTCAAAATTTGAGCTGAATCTCAGAAATTTTCTAGAAGACAAGTGATAGTTTGAGTTTCAAAAATTAAAAATTTGTTAGAAAAAAACAGAAATTTTGAGATCAATCTCAGAAATTTTCAATAAAAAAAATAAGGAAATATCTGAATTTCAAAAGGTGAACATTTTTTACCTTTGGGTATTAATTTGAAAAGTCAAACATTTGCTAGCGATTCATTTTTAGATTAATCTTAGAAATTTTTAAGAAGAAAAGCAGGGAAATTTTCTGAATTTCAAATGTAAATAAAAAAAAACTTTCAACTTTTGAGACTTTCCATATTTTTCTGGAACATTTCTGAGATTAATTTCAAAATTTTAGATTTTTTTGCAGAAACGTATTCCTTTTATGTACGTAAAATGGCCCCATTACGCCGTCATCAGATCCCTCTCAATAAATTAGACACTGAAGTAAAAAAGTGCAGTGAAGTTGATGTTTGTATTAGATTAAACGGAGCGACGTTCATGAAGGCCGACTCGGAGTCTCTGATTCTTAACCGATGAGATTTACTTCAAACGCCAATTACGCAGCAGCTGCGATAAAAGTCCCAAAATAAATCATCATAAATCAGAACCGTCTGGAAACAGCCCAGCAGCAGCAGTCCGTCGTCACGGCAACAGCGTTCATGGAGGAGTTTAAATAAACGGGGCGGCTTTGTCTCCAAAAAGCCACACCAGGCGTTCAGAGAAGTCCAAACGGAGGCTCAAGCATTTGGTTTTCTACAGAGGAGAGCGGGTTGGGATGTGGCGTTGGCACTGTTAGCGGCAGCTGAGGGAGACGGAGGAAGAGGAAGAGGAGGAAGAGCAGTCGGTTCTACCGGTCCTTCAGCTCCCGGGTCACTCGCTTGGTGATGCGGCCGCACAGCAGCCCCACCACGAACAGGACGCACACGCTCAGCGCCATCATCAGCAGGATGTAGTTCTTAGAGGGCGACGTCATCACCTGCACGGCCAGGTCCGAGAAGCCCTCAGCTGGCGCCACCTGCAGGCCACAGAGGAAATGGCAACGTTTTAACAGGTAGCCGAAGGTTTCAGCAAGTCTCATTTATACCACGCCGTACTAGGGCCAGTGTAGATAGAAAATTTAAAAAGGAGTACATTTTAAAATGACTTTAAAATGTCAAAAATTTGATTGAAAAAAAAAAGGTTGATTTTAATGTCAGAAATTTTCTAGAAAAAATT